TTCTAGATTCGCCACTGTCGAGAGTCGTGAAGCCCATCCGTGGTTTGTCTTTGTCAGCAGTTGAGCACAAAGCCACGTGGCAGTTCGATTAAGAAAATAACAAGTACTCGATCAAGTATTTTGAGTAAAGAATCAAAATTTATCCAACAATACATAAACAGATACAAACTAAACAGGACCACTCCATTCCAATTCTTTTGAAATGGGTTCTTTAATAATAATAGGAAAAAGTACACTTTAACGCATGCCATAAAATCCAATAACAAATACGTATCTTCTTCACAAAGACATCATTCGTCTAAATTCTATTATATAAACGGCCAAACCCAACTGTAGAAAAAAAAATCTTGTTTAACGAAACTCAATTTTATGGTTTCTATTTACTGAATGTGGGAGTGAGTAGAGTCCAATTAGCAATTGATGGACCAATCATAGTCTTGGTAAACAACATGCACAGCACCACCGTCACCTGAAAGATGCGACAACAGCCCCGCCTTGGTTGCATCCAAGTACCCGTTTAGCCATTTCAACATCTCCTTTTCTTGCCCAAAATCAACACTAAACCTGAAAATTTTGATACAATAATATTATTAGTCCATGATCATTAATTAGGTGTGAATTGTTTCATTGAAATTGAAGCAACAAGTGTGTGTGTGTGTGTGTTGTGGCTCACCACTTGAAGATACGAGTGAGGTGGACTGTTCTCTTGGCCAGATCCACGTGGATTCCATCCTTCTGTAGAAACTCACGTGCAGCAAATCTTAATTCTGATTCTACCCCTTGTGGGGTGAAGAATCTCACGGGCGGGCTTGATTTCGACCCGTTACAGATACCGAAATGAATCAATGGATTCACTTGTGGGAATGCCAACTGCAAAAGCAAAAAACTCATAAGGTCACATGCATTAAAACTGTGTGATTAACTGATTGTACAAAAAGTATATCTCATTCTCATAATAAAAAAAAATAGCGTCTAGCCTGGTCAGCTTTAACAGTTTGTGGGACTTGTACCTCTAAACGCTTGTCGCCAGAACCAAAAGGTTTTGTAAACGTGTAAGGTGGTCTTCGGTTATTTCTAAGAACACCATTTATAATTGTTGTAAAAGAATATGGAGAGCCACCAATCACATAAACAAAATCCGAATTGAAGGATTTCCTATCGATTACAGAAGCCCCGGGATGCCCGATACTGATAACCGCATGGATCACCATCGCATTGTGTAGGTTAAGAAAGAAAGCAAGCCTCTCAGAAACCGAAAGTGTCGATATATCCACCCTTTGAAGTTCTTGCATCAAGTTTACATATCTGTAACAATATCATTTATTCAGTCAGCACTTTATCATCTGATAATAATAATAATAATTAAAAAAATACCTCCGGAATTCCTCGCTGTTGCTAATACCCAAATAATCAAGATGGTAACCATCTTCAGAGGCATAGGATTCAAGTATTGCTGACATTATCTTGGCAAGTTTTACGCTAATTGTTGTAGCAGATTTTGGCTCGAGGTCATTTGTGGCACCCCTGAAATTATAGCATCGTGGAATGAATGGCTCGTGTTCAAGAAATCTATAAAAATGGTTTCCATCTTCAAATTCGTTTTCCCTGAAAGCAACATATGATAAAAAAAAGGTCATGTAATGCTACGTGCTAACACTTTTTGTTTTTAATATGTAAGAAAAAGAACATTGAGATTTTTACCCGAACACGTGATGGAGAAAGTGTCTTCTTGCTAGTTGCTTCCCAATCTCCACGGCCTATATAAAGAATACAAACAACTCGAATATAATATATAGTTTTATTGGAAATGTCTTGTAACATAAATAAATGATTTGGTTTCAGACTTTCAGTTAAATTAATAAAATAAAATGTATACAATATAGTTGATGATGGTTTGTACTATTTTATATAAAAAGCACAAGATCCAGCAGCATGCAAAGAGATCATGATTCATGATTCATGTTGGGTATAAAGAATCAATTTGGGCGGTGAAACCATGTGTCATTAATGATGATTTTAATGACTTTTAAATAAAACATAACCATTTTTTACCCCATGGTGAAAAGTAAAAACCAATTCTGTAATCCCAAAAACACCTTTTGATGTCATTTCGTAAAGTAATAGTTACCATACGAACTATATTATTGATGTTGAAATGATCCTTTAAGACTTGTATTTCAATATAGAAATCACGTTCAAGATTTTGTAGGTGAGTAAGTACTCATGTTTTCTTTTTGTTTAAGTAATTCAGAATATGCAAAGTTTAACGACAATAGGGAGACAATCATCACCTACTTTGCAGTATACTAAAATATAATATACTCCTCGATAATGTTATATTTTAATCTTTTTCTATAAAAATAGTTTAAAAAATAGGTATTCATTTTCAAAAAAAATGGTGGGATTGTTTCAAATTATAGAATATTATTTCGAAAAAATTGTGATCATCAAGATCGGTAACGTTGCCGACTTAACGATGATCAGGAAATGAACATACGAAGTATGATAGGCTGCGATGCAGGGAAGCAATATTAGGAAGCAAAAGTCAAAGAAATCACGATACCTTCTTCCTCCCGCAGTCAAACTGGTGAATTAAAGCCTCCACCATCTCCGACGAAGAGAAACAGTTCTTCACGATCTTCATCTTCATCAAACGATCTTGAATCGGCAACTTTTGCCGCAATACTCGAACAGTTGCTACCATCTCGTCGGGATTTTCCTCCTCCGGATCGTCAAACCCGTATACCGGCGGCGCGGGCGCGTCGTCTGGGCACTTCCGGCAAAGCAATTCCTTCATCCTCTCATCCAGCAATCCGCAATTTCTTAGAGAATTCAACGCCACAAGTCCGCCGAAGAGCTTCTCGTTGAAAAAGATCTGAGGTACAGCGGTGCTTCTGGTTCGTTCGAACAACTCCTTCTCTCTGGTTGGATACACGTCTATGTTGATCTCCACGTAGCGTAATTTCCGATCCCTGAGAAATGATCGAACTGCCGTCGAGTCTCTGCAATTTGATCGCGAAAAGAAAGTGATGCGTCCTTTGAACTGTTCTTTTTCTTCTTTTTCATTTTTGAGCTTTACTGTCACTTTGAGTCCCGATAAATGAAACTCCGTAATGTTTGAAACCTTCTTCTTTTCCGAAGCGTCGTTGTTGTCATCTGTTAATAACGATAATCGTTTCGTGATCGCCGCCGATAAGCTATTGCTCTTCTCTCGGAAGAATTTACCAAACGCTGGTATCTGTACGGCAGCGGCGGCACTTTCCGGCGATGAGTTTGATCGTTTGATTAACGGAGACGATTGTATTTTTTCCGCCTCCTCCGTGTCAAGGGCAACGACGCCTGGTGGCGCTTCAGGTCTCGGAAGCTGTGGATTTGGATGAAATACCTCAGTCGGTTCAGCCTCATCGTCATTTCTGTTTTTTCGGAAACCCTCGGCGTCGCCTGACTTTTCTTCGTTATCTACATGGATCTCTCTCTGTTCAATCTCATCGGAACCACCGTCACTGTTACTAGAATCATTCACAGAAGAATCATCCGAATCAACTTGTTCTGTTTCCTGTTCTCCGCAATCATCGCCGCTTGATACCTTCTTGTTTATTTCACAATCAAAAAATTCTGGCGATTGAGGATTGAGATTGATATCAGTAGCGGTTGGTATTTGCACTCCTCCATCAGGTAACCCCATGGCTACTAATTTCTTGATGATGGAATGAAATGGGGGCGGAGAAGGGGTGAAAGAGTTGTTTGAGAGCGGCGGGGATATCGGGGGGAGATATAAGAAGCGTGTGGGGGAGAGAGTCAAGAAGGCTTGGTCAGCAGAAGGAGGTGAAAACTGACAAACGTGACCGGCGGTGTCCGGCGACGGTACTTCGACTAGATTAGATACTAGGTGACGGATGATGAGCAATTAGTTTAATAACCCAAATCTTTCATTTAAATAAATTATTCTTACAACCATATAACAAAAAATAAATATCACATTTCAAACCTGCATCCTATAACAATTCTAGGCTACGGATGTTAAAAACTTCCGTGGACCTGTCGTAGGACCCCAATTCAGTACTGTATTAATTTTTTAAAAATATCGGGGTGGAGGAGGGACGGGAGTGAGATTAAACCACGTTTTATTTTCGGGACCGGGAGTAGGAGTGAGTATTTCTGTCTCGTACTTCTGCGGGGCCCGTTTGTATATATATATATATATATATATATATATATATATATATATATATATATATAATATAGGTTCAGGTATTTAAAGCAATTATTGTGTTATTTTATGCATAAATGTGGGCCAATCAAAATTAAATAAATAAATAAGGGTAATTTAGTAATTTGTTTAGTAACTTCCAAAAATAATCCCTATAATCATGGTATTGACTTTTAACCTAATCTCTCCAATTTAAATCTCGTTCCCCTCTTTATCTAAAAACCAAATCTTGGCCGATCTGCAAAATTGGAATAGACTACAAAATCGATCTTGAGTTCTACAAAAATCGATTGCCATCGCCATAAAATCGAGCATAGGAACAGAAGAGAGAGCGAATCTTCGAAGGCTTCGCTCAATAGGAACAGAAGAGAGAGCGAGGGGTGAGACCAGAAGAGGGTCCGACGACAGGTGGGGCTTCGGTGGCATTGGCTCGACGGAAGAAGAAGAGGTGGGTGCGACGGGGCTTTGTGGTCGATGGGAATAGCAGAGAAGGAAGAATACGAGGGGAAAAAGGGGTTCGTTTTCTTGGCTGGTTCGATCGTCATCAACACACGAAGAAGAAGAGGTGGGTGCGACGTGGCTTTGTATTCTATAATTCGTTGAATTGAAATGATAATTGTTTGTGCTTAATCTTATTGAAATGGTAATTGTTTGTGTCGCTATGAATGGTAAAAAATGTATGTTTTTTGTTTATAGTATGATCCCACACAAAACCAAGCGTGGAGCTGCTGCACTTGCAAGGTTGAAGGTTTATGAAGGAGTCCCAACTCCATACAACAGGAAGAAGAGGATGGTCATCCATGATTCCCTCAAGTGAGTTTCTTTTTGATGTTATATGAACTTGATTTTAAATCAAGATTTACATTAGGTTTTTGATAGATTTATCTGTTCATATCTTGAGATTATATTTTATTGAATACTGCTAAAACAAATGTAGGGTTTTGAGGCTCACTGCTGGACACAAGTACTGCTTGCTAGGACAGCTTCCATCTGAAGTTGAATGGAATCACTATGAGACAATCAAGGTAAGATATTTTTTTATGTTTTGTATTTAGTTTTAGCTTCATTAAACTTTTTTAAATCTTTTTATATTTATATTTTTATATATATTAACAACATACTTTGCTATTCATCTATTATGATACAATACACCTTGTGCTATTTTGTGTATGTAGTTTAACAATTTATTTTATAACAATGGAAACTGAATATGTAATATATACTTGCAGGATCTTGAGAAGAAGAGGAAAGAGAAAGCACAAGTGGTGTATGAAAGGAAGAAGCAGCTTAACAAACTCCGAGCCAAGGCTGAGAAAGTTGCTCAAGAAAATTTGGGTCCCCAACTTGAAATCCTTGCTCCTGTTACCTATTAAACCATTTAAATTTAGTTTCTTGCTAGAGATTTTGTTTTTTTGTCTTCTCATATTTCACTTTTGCAATACACTTGTGTTTATTTTTGTGTCTTAATTTTTTGTTGTGCCAACTTTTGATTTTATAGTTTTCGTATATTAGATAAGGAGGATAAATGTGTTCTCACATAATGGTATTCTTGTAGAACGTAATTCTCGTCTACTATTAGTCTCACAAAATGTCATTCTCGTAAGAATGGTTGGAATCAATCGATTATGGACCATTGAAGAAGATAAATGGCATTTGTTCACGAATTGTATGAAATCACGAATCCAATTCTGTTGGAATGGAATCATGAATTCTAATTTTGTTGGAATGGAATCATGAATTCTAATTTTGTTGGAATGGAATCATGAATTCTAATTATGTTGGAATCATTCTTTTCCTTTTACAATAAATGTAATTCTTAACGATTGTTACCCGTATTCTATAAAAAATAATGTATTTTTTGTTTTTATTCTTCAATTGATTGTTCAAGAATTTGTTATTCTACATGAAGTTTTTAAAGTCATGATCAAGAAATAGGTTAAGAATATTTTTATTATTTATGGTTCAAGAATATTTTTATTTTTTGAATATACTCACAAACATATTCTGTCAGAATGTTCGAATTAAAAGAATTATAATTCGTAAAATCGGATTTCTAAAATTAATAGAATCTATGATCCCTTAAAATATGCAATTTACCTTTATTAAATCTATATTAATTGACTAAAATACTCTTGTAATTAAATTAGACGATATTTTCAATTATATTTAATTCAATAATATATATTAATCACTTTTTTAAAATAAAAAAAATTGATTGACCCACATTTATACATACAATAACACAATAATTACTTTGAATAGAATAACCTAAGCATATATATATATATATATATATATATATATATATATATGATAGTGAATTGATCATATATTTTTGGACATGTTGTATTTTTTTTTAATGTTGGATTTGTCGTATTTTATATTTATAAGTTTGTTGGATTTGTCGTTTTGTAATGTTGGATTTTTAATTTTTTTAGTTGTTAAAAACCTAGATTTTAAGCTTTTTAAAGTTATGAAAAATAGTTTTTTAGCCCAAAATATAACAATTTATTTTAGCAAAAAAAGTCAATTTTAATCCTATAAAACGGGGGAACGAGGGTGGAATCGGGGAACGGAAGGGGGGGGGATAACTGATTTCGAGAGCGGGGACAGCTATTTTCGCTCTCGTTTGGTCCCGTTGACATCATTATTTTAGGCAAATACTTAACACGACCAACATCGTCACATATTATGTAAAGGAGCAATGTTTAGATTAAGTTGTTATGCTTAAAGTTGTTTGATAGTTATTGACTAAGTCATATCTGATGCTTAATTGAGTCATAAGCTCTCATTAAATCTATATCTATTTGAAATCATGTTTTTTGATTATGCTTCTAATCGAGCCAGAAGTTCTTACTAAATCTATCTCTGTTTGAAATCATGTTGTTTAATTATGTATCTGAATGATTGTGTTGGATGATAAAAATGATGAGTTTATCCTTATGTTCTATTTTGTACTAGATAATATGTATTTATTTGCTAAATTATTTAAAAAATTTATTAAATAAATATACATACATTTTTAAAAAATAATAAAGAAAAAAGTAGAATAACTAATTATAAACATCAAACTTAAAAAACTACAATTTTCCAACGGAACTTCAACACAAGTTTGATGTGAATGAATAGTACATCATATTTGGTGTTATACTATTCATAACACTTAGTGGAGTTTCATACTAAAAAAGTGATAACTTAAAAAATAGAATTGGGTTGGAGATATCCTAAGATATACAAATACACAAAAAGTTTCAACACTTGGTAATGTCTAAAATGTAAACACAGAAAAATCATTGATATGATGTCATTCATAAGTTCCGAAAATCAGTGTTTCAGAATTGATAAGCCATGAATTAAGAAATATGGGAGACATACAGATGAAACACTAAGAAAACATTATGCATTAACTAATGAAATATATCAAAACAAAACATATCGTAGTTATTAACAAATGTTCAAATTCGAGTGAAATACATAAAGTAATCAATGGGTCAACCAACCACTTTGTGATGTCAATATAGGTTTAGGGACTCGAGCATACTATGAGCTTGGATGTGGAGAGATCGGAGTCTTTGGACTGGATCAAGTGCGGAACCAAACTGGTTAGCACCCCAAATCAATGATGCAGATTTTTCACCCAACAGGCGCCTTACATCATCAGGTGCCTTCCCTCCCATTTACATGTCCAATCAATAACAATAAGAACTCCCCGTATTTCAGCCTGTAAAAACACAACTTTAATGTTAAAAAAATATTAATCCTTTTTTATAACAGTCATACCTCAAAATTCTCATATATATTTTTTTGTCTCTTGTAATCAACGCAACTTCCTCAATGAAAATTGCATTCCTCGAAACCCTATTATAATCATTATATGAACTTGTTTCATTTGCTAGACCATCTGATTCTCAACGCAACTTCCTCAATGAAAATTGCATTCCTCGAAACCCTATTATAATCATTATATGAACTTGTTTCATTTGCTAGACCATCTGAATTCTCAAGTGTGATTTGAATATATCATACAACCACATAACATACAATTTGATTCACGGATGGGTCCAAGAAAATGCATCTGGTTTAAGACGAAGAACAAGAAAAAACATCTAATTCCATACATCTGATTTCAGACGAAGAACAAGAAAATGCTTCTGGTTTTAGGAAGAAAAAACACAAAACAAGTGAGTGTTGAAGAGTACTTTCGGTGGCGTAGGAGTGAAATTCACAAGGCTACCTTTTATGATAGGGAAAACTACAAGACCGAAAAATAGATAAAGGAGAGAGTGGAGTTACATGCAATAGAAACCAGGAGGAACTTGTTTATTAAGAAAAATAACAAAACACGTTTACGGGCAGTCACATGAGGTGTGACAGAGAAGGGTCTCACTGCAAAAGTTAAAAAAGACAACATCAACCATAGTATTAAAAAGCCTTACAATTTACAATAAGTTTTGAACAATTTTAAAAAGAATTACAATACAGTCGAAAAACAACACATGCATAATGCTTCTACAAGTGATGCGCCTCTAAGTGCCACTTACTAGATGATAACTGAAAAAGCATGTAAAATGAGGGTCGACTATGGAAATAGCTGGTGAGTTCACAGATTTACATTTTAAAATCATGGAAGTCCAAATTTTGATAAAAGGTTTCCATAACAAAAGTACGTTTCCATCATGAGTAATGAAGTTTGTGGCTAAAATGATATAATAAAGTATGTTGTTAAAATGATGTAATAAAGTTCGTTGTTAAAATGAGTAATAAAGTTTGTATAAAATAGTGTCAATTTGCTCACATGATAAACATATTTGAAGGTGAAAAGTGATCAAACCATGAGTTCACAAACCCAAGCCTAATAACCGAGGGGTGCCCTATAGAGATCTATGTGTATTGCTCACATAGATAGAAATGGTAAAATGCACTCCGCAAACTGTAACACCCATAAAAATTGAGCCAAATTAAAACATTTTAATTCATTCAAAAACCATTAACTTCATACACCTTCACCCGTTTTCAATAGTTTATTATCAGAGTATCCCCCAGAACCATATCATATAAATCATAAAAACATGAGGAGCCGTACGATCACGCATTGGCCTTGCCACGATCTCCTGAAGTACCCGAAACAATACACTGAAACTGTAAGCCCGAAAGCTTAGTGAGGTTACCCCAAAATACCAACCCACATAAACATTCTCATACATATCTCAATAGAACAACCATGCACATCAGGTCTACTGTGTGACTGGTCCGCCCGCACCGGGCCTTCAGTCCACCTGGTCCACCCTCCGAGTCTAGCCATGTACATCGAGTCTACAATGTGATTGGTCGGCCGCACCGGCCTTCAATCCACCTGGTCCACTCTCTGAGTCTACAGTATGACTGGTCCGCCCGCACCGGGCCTTCAGTCGGCCTGGTCCACTCTCCGAGCCTCGGCACGTCTGGTCCCCCCTCTTGGGGCCTTCAGCTATCCGGACCGCTCGTTGGGCCTTCGGATATCCCGGTCCCCCTGGGTATGTTGGCCTACAGCACAAAGCAGGACCCGCCTCAACCCAACCCCCGTCAAACAACCATGTGCACATAAAACAATCAATCACATAACAAATTCCTTAACCAGACTATCAGTCTAACAGACCACATATCATAACACATCCTAACCAGGATTCCGACCTAACCGTCCTAGCACTAGCATTACCCTTATACCGGGTACCGACCTTAACCAGGTCACTACATAACACCATCCTAAATACCAGGATGCAGATCTAGCAAAGCAATAACATAACCAACAATACCAGGATTTCCATCTGATAAAGGACCGGCCTTGGTGCCGTAGACCCTTCGATACAGGGAGGATAACTCACCTGAAATTGCCGACTGAAAGGATAAGATCAGCTGCTCCAACCACCGACACGAACTCCACCACCGAACACTACCAAAGAACCAATTCCATAAATACCAAAATCACCAAACTATCCTTGGTAAACAAACTGGTCAACTCTGGTCAAAGTCAAAGTCCTCAGTCAAGGTCAACCTCCCTGACTGACTCTACTCGCCGAGTCGACCCGTCGACTCGTCGAGTCCTTATACTCAGAAACTCCCATAACACGACTCTACTCGCCGAGTCACCCCAAGACTCGTCGAGTCCAACGATCTCCGAGTCCCATACTGTCTAACTCACTGAGTCGCCAACCGACTCACTAATCCAAAGATTTAACCACAAGAGGTTAGGTTCTGCGACCAGACTCGTCGAGTCCAAGAACAGACTCGCCGAGTCCAAGGCAATCTTCAACAGACTCGTCGAGTTGTTCTTCAACTCGCCGAGCCATGCACATGTTCATACAACTCGTCGAGTACACCCATGTGACTCGTCGAG